CTTCCGATCTCCCCAAAACCCCAAAACCCCAAAAAGTAGAATGCATCAAATTAAAAAGTAAAATAAAAATTATAAGGGTATTACTCAGTGGAGTTAATAATAGAAAAATCAAATCATTGTAAGCTTCTAGATTTATTGTTTAAGATTTACGGCTCCAATTTTCAAATCATCATCAGGTTAACGTCTAAATCTATCGCCTAAATTTTTTACTTCTGACGTATACTGCTGCTGTTAATTGCTAAAGTAAGTAGTATTCTGTCCAACACCATTCTATTAAGTTGTACCTACCCTACTTGGATCTTGGTATTGTCTTAAATTCTCAGTGTACTCCTTGATCTATTCTTTTTTTTGTTTTCCTTTTAGCCAATCCTCTGTTCCAATGCTCGAAGGTCCTAATCCACCCAACTGATAGTATTTTCCTGGCTTTTCCTTGCTGAACTCTTTGTACTTGAGCGGCTTGTTTTCAACCTGATGGTCTTTTATCTTCTCTGAAATTTAAGATAAGTCCAATAATTTGTTTTCAGATCTATTTGATTTGTTATGTAGGTTAAGGTAAGAATTCACTCCCCCGCTATTGTTGTTATTAGTGTTATACTAATTTTGCTATATTTATAACTTATCCATAAAGATTTAGTTAGGATTCATTTAGAGACTTCTATTCTAACTCTTTCTCATATTAAGATCTCCATTTCTGCTTTTAAAAATATGATTATCAAGAATCTTAGATTTTTAAGCTGTTTAGATTTTAATTTTACCATTAATTTAGACATTTTAGTTTCCTGTTAGAGGAGGATAATGAGTTGATGTTTCCTAAATATGGTTTATATTCCCAAGAGTAGAAACTGATTTTCTGTCAGTTTACTAGGAGTCTAATGGATTGAAATTTCTTTGTGTGTTTTATGACACGGTTGTTTCTTCCGTAGTTTAAGTGGCATCTTCATATCTCTTCATTGCCTTCACAGATCCATATTTTTAAATAAGCTTTTCCATCTATTATCCAGATTTATCCTGAGTTTTTACGTTGTCGTTATAAGCTTAAAATGCAGCTGCTCCACCCTAATTTTAATGGTGATTTAGATTTTATGGTTGAGAGTTGCTATTTACTGCTGTCAAATCAATTCTTTTTAAGAACTTTTATTTCTTATGCAAAGTTCTTTTAGACTTTAACAACTAATTCTATTTTTACAAATTTTCTTCGTCAACCTATCTTTATATTTCTTCGTTTTTAAACTTAATTTCCTCAATCTTCCTTCTGAAATTTATTTAAGGCAAGATGATGCTTTAATTACTATCGCTAATCAGGTTATAATTGGATGTAATTAGATCAATTGGCACTCTTTATAGAGACATACTGTTATTCTATGATAGATCATTATTATTTCTATGCTGAATTCAGCCCATTTAAAAATCAGCAGTTGATCTGATTATATCTTTTAATTTTTGTTATTGATTGAGAAGGTTTTGATTCTAATTTTGGTCCTATTAAGCCACGCTATTTATAATCATGCCAGTCTACTGTGCTACAATAACATTTCTGCCATTTGATTAGTCTCTTCCAACTCCAGATACAAAATCTAGGCCAGGCAATTGTATGGGAGAATATACATTACTTTTATAAATTTGGAAATTTTAAAAGTGACTTGCTTATAAGCTTGACCCTGAATCCTCATTAGTCAACTTATTAAGACTCTATTTATCATTCCCCTTTTCAGTAGCCTATGGCAACATTAAAACACGTTCACCTGAATTTTACCTGCCTCCTTACATCCCAGGATAAGGCATGACATTACTCTAACCGAAAAAATCATTGTTGTCTAGATCGTATTGATCATCGCTAAAGATTCTTTTTTACTTCTAAATGATGCTATGGTCTTCAAGGCTTTTTTTTCTTCTTAGGATAGGCACTTTATCGATTGGTTTGCTATAATTACTTACGACTCCAAGATGACCTTCTTTGCTCATTAATTGCGTTTTGCCTTTGAACCTCTCCTTGAAATGATCTATAGTTTGCTGCATATTTTAGGGTAGTCCAATATGTGGCTCTATATTAATGCTTGCTTTTTTATGGGGAGATATTATCGAAGTTTAGGTTATTTAATTCTAGTCCTTTAATTATTTTTGCTAATTTGAATTGGGGGCTTTATATTGCTTAAGTGCTGATCTCTGAGCTCTCATTTTTTCTATTTCTTCATTCATTACTGTTCAGACTTAATCTGCAAAGGAAACCCCAGCTTGGTTATTCACGCTTTTTTAAGCAACAGCAGGTGTCTGGCTCATCTTCATTAAAATAATTTGTATTAATTAAATTTAAAATCAATGTCATAAAAACAAGGAAGAAACGGAACTTAAAAAGACTAAAACAATAGCAACATGTACCTATTATTATTAAGAATAATGATTATTTTAGCAATGGAGAGAAGGTTGATTCATTCAATAGCAGAAATAACTCTAAAATTAGCAATAATATTAGCAGAGGAAGTAAAAATGAAGATGACAATAACTCCAAAGCAGGAAAACCTAAGGTTATATTAGATAGAAGTTAGCTCATGGATAATATGCTATTTCCTGAGAATTGTGCTTCCCTTGTAATAGTTCCCTCAAATAAGGAGGGAACTGGATTCTTGAATCACTGTTATGATGAAAGATTTCTGAAAGAGTATATTGCTGAGAAAGAATTTAATGCCATTGTGATGATTGCCAGTAAGCTAGCAGCTAAATGCTATTCAAAAAAGAAATTGCTAGATAAGAAAGGAGTAGATAGAAGTATGAAGCTTATTTTAATAATTGCTACTCTATTAGCAATTGTTTCTCTCTATACAGTTCTTGAAGGATTCGTAGGAGGAGAGGATAAGACACTATTATACTTTTCTCATGTTTTAATTGCACCTTCACTTATAAGTGTATTTGTAGTGTCCATTGTAAATTGGAAGCAAAAAGTAGTAAAGCCTGTTACTTTCAATGAAATGGTGAAGAAAGACATGGATGAATTCTTCTCAAAAATAAACCCTGAGTTTAAACACTAGGGTATTGAGTGGGCCACGATTGAAGGGCATTATTGGCTAGAAATTAGATTATCTCCTTAAAAGAAATAAGGCTCATTATAATAAAATTTACAAAGAAACCTCTCTAAGAAACTCAAAAAGATTCTTATGAGTGCTGATATCTAGGTTTCTGAAAAGATCATAAATACTCTTTAGCAGAATGATCAATTAGGGGAAAATGAGGAGATTCATAATCAATAAGATTAAATTGGCTAACAAGAAAATAATAGTAATCGCAACTTAAGTAGTAGAAATAAATATGAGGTAGATGACTAATAAATAGATACTGAATAATAATAGTTGGTAGAGGATAATGATCAATTCGATCCAAACTATATGTAAAATTGATCTTAATCTTGTCTTGGTAATCATATTTCGTAAATAACATGAATTTATCCTGCCTTATTATGTATTCATATATATTTCAGCAGACCAATTAATTACATTAATAGCAAATTTTAAACTTTATTGATAATATGGGGTTTTGGGGTTTTGGGG